TTTTATTTTCATGTGATGGTTTTCGTTATGACATTCACAGGTTATAGGGCATATCTGGTGAGCCAAGGTCAAGATTAGGTATCAGTTAACGAGCTTCCCATCGGTTTCTCAAAAAGAATGCATCACTTTTGGCGAGATTATTTTTTGACTCGCGTTATTACTTAGAGCAGTCGATGATTCGCTGAACAGTCACATAAAACCAATGCGTTGGAATACTCTTGCTGCGTGTGAACGGCGGCGTCCTCACGGCGTCGTCGCTCCTAAGGAACCGTCGATGTCCGTCTTTATCGGCCGTAACGGACGGACCTCCTCCGCCGCCAGCGAGCGAGCCACCCCGACGAGCGCACAGGCACACCTTCACCTTCGCGCCTCGCAGGGCGCTTTATGAGCACCTGCAGCGCACGCACCTGCAGGTGCTGCAGCTATGCCCATTTGCAGGAAAATAACGACTATTCCCCTCCGAAGTAAGTAAACTGAGATCACATCTGAATCTGTAATTGGGCCGCCGGCGGAACCTTATCGAGCAGGCGCTGCGGGCCGCGCATTATAGGATGGGCTCGGGGAGCCTTCCGCGCGTTATTTTATTGGCAAGTCGGTTTTCGCGAGCCGGGCGCAGTAAAGCGCGTGGCTCTCCTAATGCGGTGCCAATTCATTCCCTTGCATGAATGAACGACTGGCTGTGCAACAATGTACGGCGGAGCGTCCCCGAGGAGCCATTGTCAACGCTTTTACAGCCCAGGGTACTTTTAGTGCCCGAGCCTAGACGGTACCAGAGGGGTACCGGCTTTCTCTCGGCGGCCGTGATCGGCGCGCCACCGACGGTACAGGTGTCTCCTCATTCGATATATGTCGCCGGCGAACGCGAGGACGCGCTCGACCAGCACCCGGTCCGCGCCGAGGTGGCGAAGCAGCACGCGGAGCAGGAGGAGGTCGCCGACAACGCGTCGTGTCAAAGATGTTGTCACCCACCAAACATTTTTGTCCGAGCGGTTATTTTCGCGACGCGGATTCCTTTCAATTGAATGCTCGGTAGGCCGTGTGTACGAGCATGAGCGCGGGGCGGGGGCGATACCGCAGAACATGTCCTGGCCGGGCCCTCGCTGGCCTCGCTGCCCCCTCGCGCGGGCCCCTTGCCCCGGCGTGCCCCCTGGGCCCCCTCGAGGCCCCCGCAGGCCTCCTGCACACCCCGCAGGCCCCCGCGGGCCCCCGCAGGCCGCGTGGGTCAGGCAAAGCCGGGTCGCCCAAGATGTTCAAGAATGATTACCAAACAATGCATCGGAGTACCAGTACCCGCTACCTGTTTCGTGCGGGGCACACTGCCCGAAAATATCTCTATCGGCATCTTGGTGACGCGTGGAAGAGAGGGGGGGCCTCTCTTGAGTCTAAGGTGCTGGTGCACCAGGGGTTTTATGGAATGAACTGAATTTGTCATGAGTCCTAAGTGAAAATTGGGCCTATGTGAAAAACGCGCAGTCAACCAGGTAACCAGCGCGCGCTCACTCACACAAACACACACACACACACACTCACACACAGGACAACCTGGGGTGCACTATGGCCGTGTTCAGCTTATTTCCATATGCTGAATATTTATCTGCTTTTTGTTTCTTTTTCATCTGCGTGACGATGCGCCCCTGCGACCTCGTACCAAACAACAAAACCTGGCCATTGTCTGTTTGGAGCTTCAAATCGAGTTAAGTTGCAGCCGGTGGCCGTATTTTGTCCGCGATCAAAAAGGAACGAGAGGGAAAAAGTCCGGTAAAGTCCAGAGGGTTATACACGAGCACACAGTTACTAAGGATGACCTCAATTTTCTAAAATCTCGAGTCATTCGACGACGGCTTGGTGACGCCGCCGTTACTGAGAGAATATTACGAGTAGGGGAGGGGGGAGGGGGGCATCTTTTGATCCGTGAAAGAAACGCCCACCCAGTGACTTTTAA